GCAGATATTAAAAAAGTATCTTCTTAAAATGTACCTGGACTTCCTGTGTTCAGGCTTTCAAAGAAAAGGTAGTTTCCATAATATGAAAATTTTTTGAAGAAAGGAAAGGTGACCGACCTCTTCTTTCTGTGTTTTCTATGAGGTTTTATTTCTCCCAAGAACTTGGTTTGAAGGTTTAAATTGACTAGCTTCTTTTACTTAGTATGATTCCTGCCTGTTTCTGTTGTGGGCCTGTAGGATAAGCACTGGACTGCTAACTGCAAGGTTAGCGGTTCAAACCCACCTGCTGCTCCTTGGAAACCCTATACAAGGTTGCTGTGAGTCGGAAGCGACTCAAAGGCACTTAACGAACAACAAGAAGATTCACAATGGAGCCCTGGTAGCGTAGTGGGTTACTCATTGGGTTGTTAACTGCAGGGTCAGCAGTTCGATTCCATGACGTGCTTTACAGGAGAAAGATGAGGCTTTCTGCTCCCGTATAGATTTACAGCCTCGGAACCCTGTATAGGGTCACTATGAGATGGCACTGACTCAGTGGCACACCACCAAGATTCACAAGGTTCAATTCATATTGTATCATGTATCATCAGTAAGTCATTCCAATTGATAGTTGAGTAATGTTCCACTGAATAGATGTGTATCACATTTTGTTAATTGATAGGCATTTGGGATGTTTGTAATTTGGGGCTACTGTGAGTATTTGTGTAAAAGGTTTTATGTGGATATACCCAATTTCCTTTGGGTGTATACCTAGGGATGGGATGGCTGAAGCATATGATAATTACGTGTTTTAACTTTCTGAGATGCTGCCAGACTGTTTTTCAAATGAGCTGTACCATTTATATTACCACCAACAGTGCATGAGCGTTCTGTTTCTCCACATCCTGTCCAACATTTGTTATTATCTCTTTTTTGTTTCAGCCATTTTAGTGAGTGTGAAGTGCTATCCATAAATTTTTAAAATATATCTTGCTATTATGGTAAAACATACATAAAAAGATAATTGAATTATTGGTACACACATACACACACATGAGGGGGCTTTTTAAAGTCCGTGGAAATTTTCCACTATCTTTCAATTCCATTTTTCCATGAACTTTCTGAAGCTCATGTGTGTATGTGTATGTATGTGCAACAATGGACAGACTCAAACATAGGAAAGATTGTCCAGATCAGATGGTACAGGACCGGACAGTGTGTTGTTTTGTTGTATGTGATGCTGCTGTGAGTCTGAATATATGACAGGGCTTCAAAACAGTTCATCGAAAAATTTGATTATCCTTTAAGATAAACACTAGACTGTTAACCACAAGGTTGATGGTTCAGACCTACCAGCTGTTGTTTGGAAACCCTATACAGAGTCACTGTGAGTCGGAACCAACTCGACGGCACTTAACAACATATATATAGAAAGAGAAAGAGAGTCCTGGTGTGGTGCTGTAGGATAATCACTGGACTGCAAAGTCTGTTTGAACTGCAAGGTCGGAGGTTCAAACCCAGCAGCTGCCCTTCAAAAACCCTATACCGGGTTGCTATGAGTTGGAACTGACTTGATGGCACATAACAATGTATGTCTTTGATGCCAAAATAAAAGATAGCAAAATAGAGCAATTATTTATATAGGTGGTCTCCAAAAACTGAAGAGATTGTATTTCAAGAGGTATTTCATAGGTCAGCAATTTAGTATTTATTTTTTCTCATTGGAACTGTATTAAGCATGAACATACTATTGACATGAGTCAGAAGTGGAGAGTTATTTTCTCTTCTGCCTATTTTGGAACCAACTCAGAGCCCCTCTCCTGTTGCTATTATCGGAATTCTAAGATTCCTCCTGCAAGTCTTTGGTGGGTATTCATTTCACTGTCACAGCTGATTTCATCTCCCATAGAATTCCTTGGTTGGCCACCAAAGCTCTGAGGGAGTGGCTTACAGATTTTTTGTGTGCGGTGACAGTTTTGCTGGGCTTTGATGACAGATTCCAAAGGAATCTGAAATACTGTGTGTTTTTTAAACTGGAACTAAATATTATAGTGATACTTTAGACCAGCGTTGTCCAATAGAAGTGTTTTGTAACTGTACTAGTTCAATACAGTAGCCACTCGTCACTTGTGGATTTTTTTTTTTCTTCATTTTTAAAAAATTTTGTGAAAATGTCTTTTTGTCAGGAGGGAGGTTGGGTCTTAATAGCTGAGAGCAACTGGTAGACTTGAACCACTGACCTTGCAGTTAGCAGTCCATTGCTTATCCTACAGCACCACACCAGGGTTCTTTTTTGAGATCCATCAAAGACTGAATGTCCACATTTCCATTAGTCAAATTTGCTCTTAAATGTATTTAAAAGTACTTTAAAATACAAAGGAGGGTGGGTTTATTATACAATGAGAAGGAATCATTTAGTAACTCAGGGAACAGTGACCACAGATTTTTATACTGTTTTTTGATCTACAGACAAAATGATTATTTAAAAATCAACTTGCTTTCACCAATGTCAACATGTCTACACATATGTATCAAGCGTATGTGTGTGTGTTCACAGCTATATTTCTACTTCTCTACACAAAGCCTAACAAATACAAATAACATACATGTATGTTAGTTAATAAAAGTTGTTGTGAAGTGCCGTCGAGTCGGTTCTGGCCCATAGCGACCCTGTGTAGGGTTTCCGAGGAGCCGCTGGTGAGCTAGATCAGGTTCTTCATATATCTCAGTGGCTTTTGAACACTTGAAAGGTGGTTAGTGTGACAAGGAACTGAATTTTAATTTCTAATTAATTTAAATTTAAGTAGCCACATGTGGCTATGGCCACCTCATTGTATTGTTAAGTGCTGTGGAGTCAGTTGCAACTCAGTACAGCAACCCAGTATAGGGTTTCCAAGGAGAGACTGATGAATTTGAACCGCCGACCTTGTGGTTCAAATTGACCTTGTGGCCCTGTGCCACATTGCATAGTATAACTTTAATCTGAAATTACATGATGGTTCTATAATGGCATCTGGGGATTTCTGACGTTTTAGAGAATTTATGAGTGGATCGATTTGAGTTCTACTTTTTGGTGTCTCTTCTTGGCTTCAGAAGCAGTGTCTATAGTCACTTGCTGCGTAGGATCAGCACTGGACTGCGAACTACAATGTTGGCAGTTCAAACCCACTAGCTGCTCCTTGGAAACCCTATGCAGGGTTGCTGTGAGTCACAGTCGACTTGATGGCACTTCACAATGGCAGCATAGTCACAGGCAGTGTATATAAGTTGTGTGTGTAGACAATTTGTAAATTTAGTTCCAGTGTATATACATCAAGCTCACTAGTTGCAGGGTCACTGTGAGTCGGAACCAACTCGACTGCACTTAACAACAGCAGTCGTGTAGTGGGTTACGAATTGGGCTGTTAACCCCAATATCAGCTATTGGAATCTACCAGCTGCTCTGCGGGAGAGAGGTGACACTTTCTGCTCCCTAAAGATTTATAACCTCAGAAACCCTATTTGTTGTTGTTAAGTGCTATTGAGTTGGTTCTGACTCATAGCAACCCTGTATAGGGTTTCTGAGCAGTGATTGATGGGTTTGAACCGCCCACCTTGAGGTTCAAACTGCCTTTGTGGTCCAGTGCTTTATCCTACAGCACCACACCAGGAAACCCTGTACAGAGTTGCTATGAATTGAAACTGCCTCGATGGTATACAACCACGCTCAGAAATTGTTCTTTGAAGACATACTATTTTGTAAAATGGAGTTCTGGTGTGATGCAGTAGGATAAGCACTGAATTACAAGGTTGGGTTGAATCGAAAGGCAGTTTGAATCCACCAGCCGCTCCTCGGAAACCCTATACAGGTTTGCTATGAATCCGAATCAGCTCAGCGACACTTACCAACAACATTTTGTAAAATAAAGTTTCGTATGTGCATAAGAATCCAGAATACCAATTATTGTTATAGATAAAGTGATTTAAGTGTTTGTTGATAATGTTTCTTATAACAACTTAAAACAAAGCCCAAAGAACAACAAACTGGATTAGAAGCTTCTAAGGGCAAGCAATGTGACTCACTCATCTTTACTTTTTTCCCTAAAGTTATTTTTTAATTTAAAATATATCCAACTTTCTTTCTGTTCCTTTTCAGTTGGAGTTGATAAGAAACTATAAACGTGTTTATTATAGTAATAATTCTATTTATTTCTGAACTGTGAAGAACTGGTATAGGTAAGGATTAACGTCACTGTGTTGTTGTTAGTGCCCTCGAGTCAGTTCTGACTCACAGTGACCCTTAATAGAGTTTCCGAGGAGGGACTGGTGGGTTTGAACCACCAACCTTGCAGTTAGTAGTCCAGTGCCTATCCTACAGTGCATTTCAAATTTTAGGTTTACTAAATCACTGTAGGGTGATTACTGATTTTTACAAAAGAATGCCTTTAAGTATTTGTAATTTAATAATTCATTAGATTTCAAGTAGTAAATAATGATTCAGCATGTTATTTACTAAGTTTGAGTTCATTCAGAAATGAACCAATTATGGAACATACCAAACTCAAAAAGTATTTTGTAGGCGAAAAGATTAAACTTCAGTATATATGTACATTTAATGAAATCTATCCTAATCGTTGTTGTTAAGTGCAGTCAAGTTGCTTCTGACTCATCGCAACCCTGTTTTCTAAGGAGGAAAACCATAGCTGGAGCAGAAAGCCTCGTCTTTCTCCTGCATAGTGGCTGGTAGGCTTGAACCACTGACTTTGTAGTTTTTAGTCCAGTGCTAATCCTGCAGAGCTGTTGCACTCCCACATCCTAATAGTAGCTATCTTTATTATTTTAGGGAGGAAAACAGATGGGACTTGCTGTCTTGTTAGGAGTCACATGGTGAGTTTGCTGGAGATCAAAATTAGACCCAAGGGGATTTCTGAAGTTCAAGTTTTATGTTTCAATATTTGATGATACTTAAAAGTGACTCATAAAACTGACTGATGCCATGTGTTCATATTTAGGTGTTAATTTAAAGTCACCTCTGCAACTTGATGGACGACGACAACTCTTTAGAACCAAAAAGTAAGTATCACTACCACAATTGATGCTGCTATATGGGGTTTTGTATTGATTACTTTGCTTCAGGGAAAAGGTGAGAGAGACAGAAATGGGCACATTTTCATAAAAACAGAAGTATTTAAAATTATTGAAGTAACACATGTTGTTGAGTGTTGTCGAGTCAGTTCCGAGAAACACATACTCCATAAAATTGAACAATATACAATCAAAATATCAGTTAAGTCCTTCTTATCCCCCATACTAACTACTATTATTTTCAGCTTAGTTTTCATAATCAGAGATTTGTTTACACTTACAGACTTTTTTTTTTTTCCCCTAAATAAGATCGTGCTGTATCTGGTAGCGTAGTGGTTACGAATCGGGCTGCGAATCGCAAGGTCAGCAGTTCGAAACTACCAGCTGCTCCGCGGGAGAAAGAGGAGGCTTTCTGCTCCAGTAAAGATTTACAGCCTCGGAAACCCTGTTCAGGGTCACTGTGGGTCAGAACCGACTCAACGGCACTTAACAACAACATATATCCTATACAGGGTCCCTGTGGGTTGGAATTGACTCAATGGCACTTCACAACAACATATATGCTATTGAACCCTGGTATGGCTCTGTACTATAAGAGCTGGACTGGTAACCGCAAGGTCAGCAGTTCAAACCCACCAGTTGCTCTCTGAAACCTTATACCAGAGTTGGAACCGGAGCATAACAATATCATATATATGATTATGTATAATGTTAAAAACATTATAAAAAGAAACAAGCAGACCCTTTGTTGTCTAGTTGAATCCCACTCATGGTGAACCCATTTGTTGTAAAGTAGAACTGTTTCTTAGTTCTCTTTGCTGTAATCTTTAAGGCAACACTGGATAGGTTCAAACCACCAGGCTTCAGGTTAGCAGCCAATCACAAACTGCTTTCATCGCTCAAGTTTCAACTAAACATTGTACCTTGGATATATTGACAGTGGAAATGCCCAGTTAAAAAGAATGAGGATGGCCTATGTATACCAACATGGCTTGTTTCAGTCTATGTCTTCCTCACTGGTTAGGGGTCCGATTTTGGTGTGTTCTCCAGTAGCTTCCTGAGAAAGAAAAGGTAAGTCGTAAATAGGTGATGTTGCTTGTCTTTATTCTGCCATCATGTTTGATGAGAAGCTTTGTTGGATTTAAAATTCTTGGTTGAAATTTAGTTGGGCAAAGACTGTTGATTAGTCTCCTGTCTTCTAGCATGAACACTCTCTCCTACAGTACCCTTCCCACTCCCCCTTTCTTTCCATGGCAGATCTTAGAATATTCTCCGTATCTCCATTGTTCGGAAATGTCATGATGGCATGTCCCTGTGGTGTGGGGTTTTTCTTTAACATTGTGCTAGATACTGGTGGGCCCTTTCAATGTGGAAATTTATGTCCTTTAGAACTGGGAAATTTTCTTGTGTTATTTCTTTGGTAACCTCTCTTCTCCTTTTTCTCAATTCCTTTTTCTAGAACTTTTATTAAGGGCATGTTGTATCTTTGAAATTTATTTTCTAACAATTTTGTGTTCTCTAGTCTCTCTCTCTCTCTCTGTGTGTGTGTGTGTGTGTGTGTAGAGGAAGAGAGTCTAATTTACAGGGACATTTACTAATTTTGGCTTTTTTTTTTCGCTTTTCTTTTTTTTTTACTGAATTAAAAAAACAATTCAGCTATCATATTTTTAATCTAAGAGCTATTTTCTGTTTTCTAGATAATATTTTTATAGCTTTCTTATCTCTCTAAAGATGCTAATTATACTTTATCTAGTATTTTTTCCTGCCCTATGTTATTTGTCTATTTTTTAAGATCCTTTTGATTGTTTATTGCTTTGAATTCACATTGGAGGTTCTCCTCAAATTTCTAGTGCTTACTGGTTGTCCATCCTTATAGGGACGCACTAAAATGTTTCTGGGGTACTTTTCATGCCTGGTCTGAACTTGTAGACTGATGGTATTCACAGTATGTTCTTTTGTTTATTTCTTCATGTTTTTTTGTTGATTTCTAAAGGCAAGCAACAAACATCTAATCTACCCTGAGATGAAATCAGCCTCATTTAATCCCCCTGTTTTCAGTCTAGCACCTCATCCCTGCTTTGCTCAGTACCTGGTATCCTTGAATCTGGTTTTGTTTTTCTAGTATATATTTCACCTGTAAACTCTTAGTTTATCTACTTTTTTGGTTATACAGTTTTTGAGGGGTTGTTTTTTTCCCCATAGAATAGTTAGGTATAATCCTTTTTTGCATATATAATCATATTCCAGTCATAATAATAAACTCAATTTGATTGGATTTCATTGTTCCTAAAAAATCGATTGGTCCCTATAAATAACTACTGTTACCCATTATTTAAGGAGCTCTGTTAGCATAGTAGCTACGAGTCGGACTGCCAACCTCAAGGTCAGCAGTTCTAAACTACCAGTGGTTCTGTGGGAGAAAGATGAGGCATTCTGGTCCTGTAAAGATTTACAGCCTCGGAAACCCTGTGCAGGGTCACTATGAGTCGGACCCTGAACCCACTCCATGGTACTTAGCAATAACAACCCATTATCTATCTAATGAAAGTATACTAATTTAGATATTAGAGAGTAAGTTCTAAGTTTCTTCTGGTGCTACCATGTACTGATTACAAACAGCAACTCAATAATTGTTACTCGACTTATTCAAGTATATCTTAAATATCATACATGTCCATCGAGTCGGTTCTGAATCACAACAACCCTATATAGGGTTTCCGAGGCTATAATCTTTGTAGGAATAGAAAGCCTCACCTGTCTCCTGTGGAGCATCTGGTAGACTCGAACCGCTGACCTTGTTCACAGTCCAGTGCTTATCCTACAGCGCCACCGAGCTCCTAAAATATCATACATTGTATTGTAAAAGGGGGAGGCGCGCAGTGACTCCATACAAAAAGCACTGGACTGTGAATCATAAAGTCTGCAGTTCAAGCCCGCCAGTCGCTCTGCAAGAGAAAGATGAGAGATGAGGCTTTCTGCTCCTGTGAAGATTTAAAGTCTCAGAAACCCTATACAGGGTGGCTGTGAGTCGGAACCGACTCAATGGCACTTAACAACAAGTTGTAAAAAAAAAAAAAAAAAAGTTTTTCTGTTTGAAAATAAGGTTTGCTTCTCTCCTTTTGAAAATCAGATAATTCAAAAATGGCAGAGCTCTTCATGGAATGTGAAGAAGAAGAGCTGCAACCATGGCAGAGAAGAGTAGAAGAAACCAGGGATGAAGACGATGATGAACTGATCTTTGTTGGAGAGATCTCAAGTTCAAAGCCAGCCATTTCAAGTAAGCATTTACTTTCAATAAAGCCAAGTTTTATAAGATGTTATTTCTAATGAACTGTTTTCTAGGTCCTAATGGTCTTGCCTAATTTAACTCTGCAAGGAGTTAGAGGTCAGTGGGAAGGGTGGGTTTGGTAAGAACGTGTGAGACTCAAAGTGGAGAAGTGGCAGAGGACTTGAGAATGCAGATAAGAAATTACGATATCCGATACAAGAGAAGCTGAATGTTAATTAAGGGTCAGGATTTCCAGATGGCATGGAGAATCTTCTAGGATTAGAAATCATCATTTTTAATGTAGTAAAGTAGCCTATTTATATGTTTGTTCATGTTTCTTTTCCCCTTTAAGTCCAGAAACATAGACAAGGAAGTATTTTGGATGATTTGCTTAGTCGCAGAATGTACTAAAAATAAGGTTGTGTTAGTCCTGGTTAATTTCCTGGACTGCGAGGTTGGCGGTTCAAGCTCATCAGCCACTCCTTGGAAACCCCATGGAGTTTGCTATGGGTCGGAACTGATTCAACAGCACTTAACAAGTCTTGATGAGGGGTCTCATAAGTCCAGGCAAGTACCTCATCATAATGTCATTTTGATTCTTGGTTGTAAAATGCACAGGTTCTGTGTACCAGCAGGGCTGCAACTTCTGGCCACATGCATCTAACAGTGGTAGTGGTGTGCCGTGGAATCAGTTTTGACTCATAGCAACCCTGTCTGAGATTTCCGAGGCTGTAAATATTTACGGGAGCAGACAGCCTCATCCCTCTCACTCTGAGCGCCTGGTGAACTCCAGTTGCTGACCGTGTGACTGCAGCCCAGCATGTAATGTAACACACTATACTACCAGGGCTCCTCCATCTGACAGTAACTTCTGTTTCTATTTATATATGTAGTGAATATACTGATGATACTTGTTAAAGTTTCCATTAAAACCTGAAAAGTGCAGAGAACAATATATAGAATTTCAGGGGAAAAAGAAGAAACTGAACGTGGAGAGACGGAGTGGCTAGGGACTCTAGACTCAAGGAGGGAGAAGGGGCTATGTGCTGGTGGCTGGGGGGCTGGCGAGCAGGGTATACCCTTTGGTTGTTTCTATGGTTATATGTTCTTGAGTACTTCAGTGTACATCCCAAAAACAAAAATAAAAACAGAGGGATTAGAAGCAAATGCTATTGAATGATGATACATGGAGGGGATTGAAATCATTGAATCATTGCAATGAAACGAAATACGATAGGATGAATGTAAAGCTGATGCCCTCCCATGTAAACTATCACTCAATTCACAATAAAAAACTTATTTAAAAAAAAAAAAGAAGACGACACTGATGTTTTCCCATTTTGCTTCCTTCTTTTTTTAAGCCAGGAGAATTTACCAAAAAAGCCAGCATACTTACCATATCAGTGTGTAAAATTGTGGTTTTAAGAGATGAGTTTTAAATTTTTGAAAGCCTCGTTCTTGTTGCTTTTGCGTCTAAAGTTCAACGGACACTTTTAACCAGAAGTAGAATACTTTAACCAAGTGAATCTGTCAACATCATTTCCTGTGGCAGCTTGGGAACTTCTTAATGAAGTGCCACTTCAGTTTTTAAAAGAACTAGGTATGTTAGCATGTTTGTAGTTAATAGCGTCACTGTTGTTGTTGTTGTTGTTATGTGCCATGGAGTCAGTTCCGACTCATAGCAACCCTGTACAGGGTTTCCGAGGCTGTAAATCTTTATGGGAACAGAAAGCTTCATCCTTCTCCCTCGGAACAGCTGGTAGTTTCGCACTGTTGACCGTGAGATTAGCAGCCCAATTCATAACCACTATGCTACCAGAGCTTCGATTTGGATTTATACCAATTCTAGATGATTGGTGGTTGTACTCATGTTAGTTTTAAAGAGCCATGGTAGCGTAGTGCGTTGTGTCAGCAGTTCAAATTAACCAGCCACAGTCTGTTCTTGTAAAGAGGTACAGGCTCAGAAACCCTATACAGGGTCGCTATGAGTCAGAACCGACTCAGCAGCACACAGCAGCAGCAGCATGTTAGTTTTAAGTGATTTTATCAAAAACAGATTAAGTTGATGATGCATGGAGGGGATTGTAACCATGGCAATGAAATGATATATGATAGGATGGATGTAAATCTAATGTTCTCCCATGTAAACTATCACATAATTCACAACAAAACACTTAAAAAAAACCCAAAAAAAACGAAACATTAACTAGTAGAATTGGTCCTGTAAATCATATTAGCCAAGGATTTCAATGAATTTATTGATGTTTTATATGTAAGCCATAAAATAATTTTAGCATGTGGAATATTATATAAATACTTATATAGAATAATTAGAAGGGATATAAAAACTTTTTTGGTAGACTACAGCTACCAGAAAGATGAGGCTTTCTGCTCCCATAAAGATTTCAGCCTCGGAAACCCTGTATAGGGTTGCTATGAGTTGGAACCGACTCCATGGCATATAACCACTGCCACCACCACAGCTACCAGAAATACTATGTAAGAATGGCTCTTTAATGTCTTGAGTAGTTGCTCTGAATTTCTGATCGAAAACAGTATCAAGTTATATAAGCAAATTTTTCTCCTAGAAAACTTGTATATAGTACAGCTTAGTCATGAAGTACCCTTATCAGAAAACATCTGATGAAATCTGATTCTTTTTGATTGTTATTGTTGTTAGTTGCCATTGAATCAGATCCGACTCATGGCAACCACGTGTCTGCAGAGTAGAACTGTGCTATGTAGAGTTCAAGATTGTGACTTTTCTGAAGCAGATTGCTATGCCTGGGTGGGTTTGAATTCCCAGCCTTTTGGCTAGTAGTCAAACATGAAACGATTTACACTGCCAAAGGACTCCTTTTTTTAACTGTTGTTAAAGTGCCATTGAGTCAATTCTGATTCATAGAAACCGTATATAAGGTTTTTGAGGCTGTAAATCTTTATAGGAACAGAAAGCCTCATCTTTCTCCTGTGAACTGGCTAATGGGCTCAAACCGTGAACAAAGAAAACTTTCTGAGTTTGTTTGTTTGGTTGTTTTCTTTTTTTTTTTCAATGTATTATACCTTTTCCTGAGGAGTCATTTTAGGCAAATCTCTACTTTTCCAAACTTTCATTTGATCCCTCACATGGGTGTAAGATGAAGCAACTTTCAGCTGATCCAATCTTGTCAGTTTCAGATTGACTTCTGGTCTGCTATAGATTTGAAATGAAATACTCTGGTAAACTCTAGGTTCAGTTTAGTTGGTCTTCAATCTCTGATTGAACTCACCTTTCAGAACTCAAGAGTACTTACTGGTACAGACAAACCAATCAGCTCTCTCATAATGAAACATAGGGACCTTTGGGAATCTGGAGTATGGTGGGTGGAGAAGCCTTTGATTTCAAGTCACTATCTATGTACAGCCCTGTCATCATTAAGGGAAAGAAACATTTCCAAGTAAAGATTGTATGTGAATGTGTTTTTGGAAAGTGTTTTCAATTATAATGTATGTTTCATTCAAACAATGAAGTTTCAATATTTTTATAGATATTTTGAACAGAGGTAACTCCAGCAGCTCAACATCAAAGACAATAAAGAGTGAGACACTAAGTCAAGGTATAATATTATTGTAATCTTTCCATTTTAAAGTTAAATCTTTAACCACAATCAAATATATAGAAATATATTCAATATATTATATAATTTTTAAATACAGATGTTCCTGAGATATCTAGGACTACAAATCAACGCTTCACAAACCAAGCACCAAGTTCACCAGCTTTGCCTAACTCTAAATCTTCACAGAGTTCTACTATTACTCAGAATCTATGTGAAACTGTAAGTATTTGTGAACTACTCAGCTAGCTCAGGGCTACATTGGCTATTATAGTACCTTGTTAGAATTCTAGATTATCATAGCTCATCACCATTCTAATAAGCATAATCAGCTTCAGAAAATGACACCAACTTTATGATACTTCAACCAATACCCAGAGATAGAACTGTAAGAACTAATTACCACCCTTTAGTAAAATATGCTTAAAATAAGTCATGATAGATAGTATTTAATTACTTTGGGCCTGGTAGCATAATGGTTGAGAGCTTATGGGACCTGCTAATCTACTGCCATAAAGATCACAGTCTAGAAGAGCGCCTTCTGGTAGGTGTAGTGCTTATGAATTGGACTGCTAACCCTAAGGGTCAGCAGTTTGAAACTACCAGTGGTTCCATAGGAGAAAGATGAGACTTTCTGCTCCCATCAAGATTTACAAGGAAACCCTACACAGGGTCACTATGAGTAGGAATTGACTCCACGGCACACCATCACCACCAATCTAAATATGAGTAAAAGCATGGTCAGTAATGCATATTACATAAAGGCCAATTACTTAAGATAGTAAACTGAGCCAAGTCTTAATTAGGAAAATCAGTCTGAGATTTGAGATTGTTTCTGTTTAGTTTAGAAAACTTAGTTTATGATTTTGATATTTAAAACTTTGACAGAAGTAATAGATAATGGTGGTTGTGGTGGTGTGCCAACAGGTTGATTCCAACTTATAGTAACCCTGTATAGGGTTTCTGAGACTGTAAATCTTTATGGGTCATCTTTCTCCTGTGGAGCAACTTGGTGGATTCAGATTGCTGACTTTGTGGTTAGCAGCTCAACTCCTAATCCACTATGCTACCAGGGCTCTTTTGAGATATAGCTGTTGATGTCTAATACGTGAAAGTCTTTGTACTAAATGCTACATATAAATGAATCTCATTTCATCCCTATGAGATTGTAGTTAGGTGCTATGGAGTTGGCTTTAACGTGACTGGTTGCTTCCTCAAAGCCAACAAGGGAGAGTCTTCAACAAGATGCTGTGTAATCATGTGCATGCACATGTACTCAGAAAGAGTGAGGGATCCATTTTTCCTCTTTTTGATCTCTAGCTTATTCATTTTTCAATAAAGATGATTCCAAAACCCATACCATATGGTATTGTGAAATTGATTCCTAGTTTGTTTACCCCAACATCTTGTGTATGCAGTTTTTAGAGGTGTATAGATGCTTTTAGGTTATGTATTCATGTGAACATGTTCTCTCTCTCTCTCTCTCTCTCTTTCTCACTTTGGTCTAAGGATTGTGCTGAAGTTCGATTATTCGCTGTTTGAGGGAAGTTGTGCATTTTTAGTAGCCTTTGACATGTGCCCATACCAAATCAATTTAAAATGGGGGTCTACATTTTAGCTTGAAAGTTAGACTTCCATTTTAGTTAGCTATTCAGAAATAAATCAGCTCTAATAGTTTGTTTTTAGGGTCAGTATGTGCTAATTTTATAGAGAGTAATAATCACCTTTATGTTTTGTAATTAATGTTTAACTCAGCATGGTTACCTTTGTACATACCATTAAATTTACCTTTAGAAAACAAAAAAAAGAATCACGTTATTGAATAAATGTAATATTCATCCTTTGAAATATTTTATAGAATTGTACAAATAATCCATCACCAGCTGAATCATATAAATCTTCAGTGTTACTATTTGACTTGACCAAGGAGACCCCAACAACACAAAAGACCCAAGTGGTACAAACATCTTTTCCAGGAGGTTTGTATTAGTACTACTTTTTCATAAAAATTATCAAATGAAATCATGAATATGCATATGGAATTGATTTTCTGTTTTCACCCCCCATAATTGGAAAGTCATTTGTATGAAAAAAAAAAAAAGTAAATTTCTTAATAGGCTTATTCAAGCTAGTGTTTTTCTATCTAACTGTGTAGATAGATGGGATAATTAAGTATGGTTATATAGTGTCATTTGTAAATGCAGTACTAAAGAAATAATAATTTGCATACAGTAAGTACTAAGTAAATACTCACTGAAGAATTAATGAAAATTTCTAATTCATGAAGAGTCGCAGTTTTGATTGTATGCCATGACACAATTTCTCATTGATCTTAAATTAATTAGTACGTACTGAAGGAATTTTATCTAATTGAGAAATTTCCTATAATCAAAGCAATTATTCCTTTTATATTAGCAATTTTGATCATATCTCACTAAACACAGAAAGGAACACAAGAACTTTTTGAATAGTTTAATGATTTACTAGCAAATCAGTATGCAGCCAAACAAAAATGTTGTACTATAAATGCCAAGAATGTTTTCCTGTTTTGATGATACTTGGTTTGATATTTAACCTATCTACATGTTGCTTAGCTGGTTAGTAAAATAGTAAAGAACAAAAGAAGCCAGGAAATAATGCTGTTGCATTAAAATCTGATTTTACAAAGCACATGGACTTTATTCATATAAAAAGTCTGAGTTCTTGAAACTTCTAAGTAGTAAAGACAATAGCTTCTACTGTCCTTCTGTACACATTTTTTATACTACAGCTATTGGGATTTTGATGTGCATGGTAAAAATGATTATACACCCACTCCTCACTTATCAACATGGTTAGGTTCCAAAGACTAAGTAGTTAGGCAGAAATTGGTGTTATGGGGAAATGGCATAACTGCCAAATTACGAAGAATCATTTGCCCAGCCAAGCTGACACATTTTAACTATCACAGTCACTGTTTCACTTGCCTAGTTCCATACACTGGACTGAAAAGTCAGTTTGAAGCTCTAGGTCAGTGGTTCAAACTCACCAGCCATTCCTTGGAAACCGTAAACAGGGTGGCTATGGGTTGGAACTGACTCACCACCACTTAACAACAACAAGAACCACCTTGGCATCTGTTACTAATAGACATAAGTTGTCAACGTGCAAAACAGATAGTTGATTTGTTATTTATTGTTGTGAATGCGGAATGTCTGGTAAGGGGCTACTAGGTAGGTGTAGTTGATTTCCTCTATTCTAAAGAATTTTTGTGACCTTTATCAATCACTTAGCTGCTATACTTCAACTTTGTCACAGTTTTTAAATAGTTTTTTTTTCTTCATATAGTATAGTCATGCTTAAGACCTGAAATCAGCCATTTGGATGTATCATTTTAATTCTTCCTCTTTGTACCTCAAGGAGTCCTGGAGGTACTATGGATTAAGTGTTGGGCTGGTAACCACATAGTGCATAATTCAAACCTTCCAGCTGTTGCCCAGGAGAAAGAAGAGACTGTCAATTCCTGGAAAGATTTATAATCTCAGAAGCCCCATTTACACTCACCATGAGTTGGGATTGACTCGGTGTCAGTGGGTTGGGTTTGGGTCTGTGTACCTTGGGATTTTTTTGATGCCTAAAGGAGATACAGTCGCATTGTGGTGAACTGGACTGCTAACTGCAAGGTCGGCAATTCAAACCCACCATCAGCTTTTCAGAAACCATATAGAGGGTCGCTATGAGTAGACACTTAACTACTTTTCCTTTTATGTAACAAAGGTTATACATAAAAATCCATTACAGGCATTCCGCCCATACCACACCACCCCATTATGAACGTCTTACATACATATAAAACCTTTACCTGCGAACCAACCCAAGTAAAGCCTATTTAAAATTCAAGATACATACAATGTTCCGCAATAACAAATGGGTACTACTTTGCGCCCTACATCAAAAGCATTATTACTGCAATACTTAAAATGGGGCTAAAACGTGCCCAGTGAAGAAGGCTTCCTGCGGATCCTCTGCATTACATAAGACTTATAGGTGGAATCCTGAACAACATCCAGAATCTTCAGAGGTGGGAAATTTCCACTTGAAAGGACTAGAAGACCAGAAGATACTTCCTGAAAGGAAGACCGACAGGAAAAATACAAAACAATATAGGTAGTCCGACTGATTACTACAAGAACAAGCAAGTTGCTCACCCAGGAGACATCAAGGCAAGTGGTTGGGTCCCCTCAGAGCAAACCCCCTTCCAAGACTAAGACTCAATGGGAATACACACTCTGATTGGTGACCACATTTGTCACCTTAAGGGGAAGTGAGGGAAAAACAGCAATGAAGCTGTGAGCTAAGCCTCCTAACTCTCAATAGACTCCTGTGAACCTGGGTGGCGACCTGATTGGTCAGCAGTGTGGCAAGACCTGGGGACTCTTGGGCGCAGAGTCAGTGACATAACCACAGAGGACTAGAGTGGAGAGTGAAGCATCCAGCTGATAAGAAGAGAGGGCATATGCATAAGTACACCCACATTTGCAGATAATACCCACTTGACCTGGCTTCAATGACTGAATGATAAGAGCTCAACTAGAAGAAGAAAGAAGAGGGAAAAAAAGAGTACTCTGATACAATTTGATGAACTTGACCTACATCTATGGATGCAGTAGGTCAAAAGAGGGAACAAGTCTTTACAGCAAAGATCATTCCCACCCCCTCCATACACAGAGTAAACAGGGATGGGCAACTTGGACATTGGCTACCCAAAATGGGAGGACTACAAAGGCAAGAAGTGACTGGCTTACAAGCTTTCAAGAGGGAACCTAGATCCAGAGGGCATGGAGGAAGGTAGAATCTCCACTGAGTAGTATCCAATCTGTCCAGGCAGCACTGATGAAAGGAAACACGGACAGGTCTCTTGTGATACAATATTGATTGAATAATTGTTGTCAGGATTGATTGTGAGGGTTGGAAATAGAAAGGTAGACGTTTTGTAGCAAGGAGGGGAGTGATTAACTTTTCGGTCTAGGAGCGGAGGCCCCTGGGACCATCAAGGGAGACGAGTGGAGAGTGGGACCCTACCTAGAGAAGCAGTGACGCCAAAGATGGAGGCAGAGACAATGAGGTGGAGCAGCTGGGGACTCTAGATCCAGAGAGGGAGAGGGGCTGTGTGCTGACGACCAGGGGGCAGGCTTGCAGGGTATACCCTTTGGTTGGTTGATGATGCATGGAGGGGATTTTAACCATGGCAGTGAAACTAATGTTCTCCCATGTAAACTATCAAATAATTCACAATAAAAAAAAATTTTTAAAGAAGCATTATTATTACTGTATTAAAGATGTCTCCGTGTAATGAAAAGTGTTTGTTTACTGTGTTTTATGCATAGAAAGATAAGATACACTATATACAAAATAAACTATTAACAAACATTAAATATAAACCATACTTAAGAGTTCCAAGTAGAACTGTACGCTTTAGGGTCATCCGTGTGTCTAGTCTTACAGAAGTCCCTAGGTAGCACAAGTGGTTAAATGCTAAACTGCTAACCAGTAGGTTGACAATAGTTTGAACCCACCCAGAGGCACATCAGAATAAAGACCTGATGATCTGCTTCCAAAATGTCAGTCTTGAAAATCTGATGGAGCACAGTTCTCCGAATACATCAGCTTGCCATGAATCAACATCGACTGGTGGCAGCTGATTGATTGGAATCTTACAGATGTAAATCTCCAGGCCTTAACTTTTGTGGCATTGTTGGGTGGATTCAAATCACTAACCTTTCAGATTGTAGCTGAATACAAACCACTCGTCTGTCTGTCGTGCTGTGGTGGTTTGAGTTGCTGTGATTCTGAGGGCTGTGCCACCGGTGTTTTAAATAACCAGCAGGGTCACCCAT